CCACTACCACTAACATTTCCATTCCCGTTCCCGTTCCCATTCCCATTCCCATTCACATTCCCATTCCCATTACCATTACCATTACCATTACCATTACCATTACCATTACCATTACCATTACCATTACCATTACCATTACCATTACCATTACCATTACACTTACCATTGCCATTGCCATGGCCATTTTCATTGCCATTGCCACTGCCATTGCCAATCCCATTGCCATTGCCATTACCATCACCGTTACCATTGTCATTGTTATTGCCATTGCCAATCGCTACCCCGTTACCATTACCATTACCGTTTACCATTACCATTACCAGTACCATTGCCATTACCATTACCATTACCATTACCATTACCATTACCATTACCGCTGCCATTTCCATTACAATTCCCATTTGCATTACCATTAACATTACCATTACCATTACCATTACCATTACCATTACCATTACCATTACCATTACCATTACCATTACCATTACCAGTGCCATTACCATTCCCACTACCACTATCATTTCCATTCCCGTTCCCGTTCCCATTCCCACTCCCATTACCATTACCATTACCATTACCATTACCATTACCATTACCAGTACCAGTACCATTACCATTACCATTACCCTTACCATTACCATTACCATTACCATTACCATTACCCTTACCATTACCATTACCATTACCATTACCATTACCATTACCATTACCATTACCATTACCATTACCATTACCATTACCATTACCATTACCATTACCAGTACCATTACCATTACCATTACCATTACCATTACCATTACCATTACCATTACCATTACCATTACCATTACCATTACCATTACCATTACCATTACCATTACCATTACCATTACCATTACCATTACCATTACCATTACCTTTTCCTTTACCATTGCCATTGCCATTACCACTACCATTACAGTTGCCATGGTCATTACAATTGCCATTGCCATTGTCATTGCCATTCCCATTGCCATTGTCATTGCCACTACCATTACCATTACCGTTGCCATTGCCATTGTCATTGGCATTGCCAGTCGCTACCCCATTACCACTATCATTACCGTTACCATTACCAGTACCATGACCATTACCACTGTCATTACCATTACTATTACCATTGCCATTGCCATTGCCATTGCCATTAGAGGATTTCAGTAGGAATCATGCAGTGGAGGGCTTCAGTAGGAACCCACATGTGGAGGATGTCAGTAGGAATCATTCAGTGGAGGGTTTCGATAGGAACATTTCTGTCGAGGATTTCACTGTGAATCCTTCTTGTGGGGGCGTTCAATAGGAATCCTTCTAGGGGGAGGGCAGATGTGGCCACGTCGCATTCCTTTTTTTTTCCCCCCTGGGGTCCCCCCCCCTGATTTTTTTTTCCTGGGGGGGGGGGGGGGGGACACACCAGGAGAAAAAAAGGCACAGAGGGAGGAGGAGGAGGAGAGGGAGGAGGAGGAGGAGGAGGAGGAGGCGGAGGAGGAAGAGGAGGAGAAGGAGGAGGAGGACGACACAGAGCAGATTCTGCACAGGAGCAGTCGCGAACTCAGCGCGAAAGCCTCTCGCGCGCGCTTTGGACCCACAAGGACTCCACAATCCCCCGTTCCCGAGGAGTTATACACCCTGGAAGATCCAGTGCATCATTTCCTGGTGTGACCCCTCGATGCGAAGGATGAAACATGAGGAGGAGGAGTTGGCAGGAAGTAGGGAGAGTGAGGAGCATGACGTGTGGAGCAAGAGGATGATCGGAATTCTGATTCATATGGTTGTTTTGTGATACCAGCTCTGTTCGAGGGGCTAATTTATGATACGAGCTACAGAAGTGGCTGGACTCGAACGGACCTCTTGGAGGTCATTGCCAAGACAGTCGCGGCGCAGCACCAGTTCAGTGAGCACTTGGGCGTAGCCGTCAGCCAGGTTCGGGTGCTTGTAATTCTAGATCTGCATCGGATGTGTGGGCTCGCGAAACCTGGCTTACAGTGCTAGGCCAAATCAGCTATGTGGACGCCCTCCTGTGACGCATACGCAACGAGCGCTCTTTAGCAGCAAGAGTTGTCTGCAAGGTTTGCCCGAGGGTTGCGTGCAAAGTCGCTGATGGAGGAAGTGGAAGCCGAGGAAGAGGAGGACCGAGTATACTTAAAAGGATGAGGAGGATGTTGACACCGTGGCAGATGCGCATTCATCCGCGGGCCATGCGGCGCATTCCTCCTTCTTTTTCTGAGTCCTCCTGTCCAGCTGTGTTGCTGTGGGTGGGTGGAGTGTGGGGGGCTATGCAACGTTGCGCCCCTCGGCGCGACGGACGAAAGAAGAGGAAGAGCACGAGGGGGAGGGGGAGAAGGAGCACCGCGCAAGATGCGCGACCACGCTGTCGTGCCAGGTCCTGGCGTGCCCTCCTCCGCCTCTGGCCGCTTCTCCTCCGTCGTCGCGTGGTGGCTTCGGCGCTGCTCCCCCCTGTGGAGGTACGGGCGGGGGTGGGAAGAGCGGTGAGGCGTGGGCGCCTGGCTGCTGCGAGGGGGCGTCGGCACGCCATTTCCAACCATGCCAGGGCACCATCTCTGGGACTTCGACGCCGCGAGTCAGCCGGACTGTTGCGATCCTGACGGTCCTGAATCGGGTCGGAAAACCTCTCCTGGTACGCCAGCACCGCGAATTGACGTGACTGTTGCGCCATGACTGTCCGACATCGTGCCAGAACACAATGTCTGGGGACGTCAACCATAATTACCCTTGAACCGCCAGCAAACGTTTTAGACGAATGTGCGTGGCGCTACTGCAAGAGCCACATTTTGAAACCGACCCATTCTCCATCCGTGAAGCTCTCGTCAACTTTTTGAACGAATGTACCCAGCGATAAGGCGAGATCCACTTTTTGAAAATGCCCCCCCCTCCATATGTGAAGCTCCTGCAATTCTTTATACGAATGCACGCGGCGCTAGGGCGAGAGACACATTTTGAAAACGACCCGCCCTACATCCGTGAAACTCTTGCAAACTTTTGCGAATAATGCTCGCGGCGCTAAGTCGAGAGCGACATTTTGAAGACGACCCGCCTTCCATCCGTAACTATGTTGCAAATGTTAAGCTTCAGGGTCATTAGTGGCGAGGCAGTCTCAGGCGAAACGTTTGGCCCGCCCTATCGACCCGTCGCGGGGTGCGACAGGGAGGGATAATTTATAAGGAAAGCAAGGATTGAGGACGAGCAGGACGAGGACCCGCAGGGAAGCAACAGCAGGAAGGGAGTGCGACAATACAAGAAGGGGGGAGGAATCTGGGGAGGACGGGAATCTATGGCAGGCAGGACCGGAGAATGAGGAGGGTGAGGAGGGGGGGAAACTCTGGGAGGCCCTTAGCTGCCTTGATGCGCTCGTTCTGAAAAACGCAGCACGCACCGTGCTCACAAAAAAAACGCACCGTGCTCACACGCTGCGTGTCGGCTCGGCGTGTCGGCGCACGTCGTGGCGAACGTCTCGCGCCAGGCCCACGTGTTCAGCCCACGCATCCGGCGGGCGGCCCCCCCGTCTGTATGTGCAGAGAGTCGAGCGCTCAGCGCACGACGGCTCTGCACACTCGATGCATCTCGGCGCCGAGCGCCCGTGCGCACCGAAGGGGGGAGCTATATCTGCCGCCTGCTTGTCGAGACGGCGCCGTCGCCGTCAGCTGGGGTTGGCTGGAGCCTGGGCCCTCCCCCAGATTTCCCCCCCCCCCCCCCCTCCTCACCCTCCTCGTTCTCCCGCCCTGCCTTCCATCAGTACTCGTCCTCTCCAATCCCTCCCCCCCTGTATTGGCGCCCACCCTTTCTGCTGCTGCTCCTGCAGCCCCTCGTCCCCCTCGTCCTGCATCCTTCGTATGAATAACTCGTCCCTGTCGCCGTCGGCAGGGGTTGGCCGGACCATGACTCTGGAGGTCTTCCTGCGCAGGCGATTCGATTCGCCCCCCCCCCCCCCCCCCCCCCCCCCACAGACCCGGACTACTCGACGAAGAATGGAGCGGCTCAGCAAAGAAGAGACGCCCTGGGGTGCACCCCAAAGAGGGATACTCGGACGCACCTCTATCGTGTACGAACGCCCCCCATCGTGTATCCCAGGGTTTCGCCCCAAATTTCTAGTCCAATTCGAAAACCACGAAATTTCTGGTCCGTTCGAAAAAAGTCGACGCACTCCCTACTATGGAGAACTTTCTCTAGACGGGTTGTGATCGCTGCTTCCCCCCCCGCAGAGGGTGCGGAGGAGAGCGGAAAGGGAGAAACGATGAGAATGAGGAGCTGGAGGAGGCCTGGGATCAGGACGAGGAGGAGGACGAGGAGGAGGAGGAGGAGGAGGAGGAGGAGGAGGAAGAAGAAGAGGAGGAGGATGAGGATGACGAGGAGGAGGAGGAGGAGGGGAGGAGGAGGAGGAGGAGGAGGAGGAGGAGGAGGAGGGGGGGAGGAGGAGGAGAGTGACACTTAGGAGGAGCATCAGATCAGATGAAGGAGAGGAAGACAGAGATGTAGGAGGAGGAGGAGGAGGAGGAGGAGGAGGAGGAGGAGGAGGAGGAGGAGGAGGAGGAGGGAGGAGGAAGAGGAGGAGGAGGAGGGAGATTGGAAGACGAGTAATTTGAGGACGAGTTTGAGGAAGAGTATGACGATGGGGTGAGCACGACATAGGAACGAGGAGGGGGAGGAGGGGAGGAGGAGGAGGAGGAGGAGGAGGAGGAGGAGGAGGAGGGAGGAGGAGGAGGAGGTGGAGGACGAGGAGGAGGAGGAGGAGGATGAGGAGGAGGAGGAGGAGGAGGAGGAGGAAGAGGAGGAGGAGGAGGAGGAGGAGGATGACCAGGAGGAGGATGACCAGGAGGAGAAGGAGGAGGAGGAGGATGACCAGGAGGACGAGGAGGAGGAGGACGAGGAGGAGGAGGAGGAGGAGGAGGAGGAGGAGGAGAAGGAGGAGGAGGAGGAGGAGGAGGAGGAGGGGCGGAGGAGGACACTTTCACGCCCGGGGGGCATTACAGGAGTTTAGCCGCCTCATCAAACAGGCCGTCGACGTGGCGGCGGACCACAGCGCGCGCGCGTGCCCCCTGCCCCTGGCGCCAGCGGCTCGCGGACGGCTGATGTGCACCGTTCCTAGTTGGCGTTCCTCGTCGGTCCTCGTCGGTCCTCATCGGTCCTCGTCGGTCCTCCTCCTCGTTCCTCTTCGGCGTCCCTCTTCGTTCCTCCTCGTCCTCCTCCTCCTCCTCCTTCTCCTCCTCCTCCTCCTCCTCCTCCTCCTCCTCCTCCTCCTCCTCCTCCTCCTCCTCCTCCTCCTCCTCCTCCTCCTCCTCTCCCTCTTCCTCTCCCTCCTCCCCCCTTCTTCCAGATGGGCGCGAGGCTGACTGGGTCTTGCCCCCGAGCGCCACTGCCTTCACTGGCTCCCCCTCTCCCCGCCCATCCTTCCCCGCACCGTGCAACGTTCCTCGTCGGTTCTCGACCCGGGAGGTGGAGTGGGGCCCGAAGGGAGTCCAGACATGGTTCTAAGCAGGGGCGCATTTCTCGTGAGGGGGTTTTCATGGCTGCCGCCTCGCGGCCTCGACGCGCTCGCATCCCCTCGCCCCCGCCGCTGGGCCGGCCAAGTGAGGAGGCGCCATGGGCCTGGAGTCGGCCCGGCCAGGCTCCGGCCGCGTCCAGTCGCCTCGGAGGGGGATCGCTGCGTGCTGCGGTCGGGATCTTTGGCTCAGCCGTGTCGTTCCGCCAGCTCTGGCCCACCGCGCTCCGGCGCGACACTCGATCCACGCCCCCAGACGCCCTCGAGTCATGAACAAATTACGGCAGAAGGTTTTTCGCAATCTATACCGGGCCCGAGGGGCCGTCAAGACACGGCTCAGGATGAATAACTGGTCCCGAGAGCAGGTCGAAATTTTTGGGGATCGACGTCATGAAGAAATCATGGCGTCGGGGGTCTGGGTCCCCAGACAGAATCGCTTCGTAGAGAAAAAGCGCGACCAAGGGTGCCCTCGAGGGCGCGAGGTGCTTCGCGCTCCGCGGTTTGGCTCCGATTCCTCATCTTCCTCTTCTCTCCTGGGGGACGACGCGGGAGCGCGCCGTTATTTGCGCTTCGCGTTTCGCGCGAGGCGTGAAGTTAATAGGCACCCTTGGCGGCGGGAGGTTTTTTGGCAGTCTTGTCGCGGCCTTTGGGCATCGCAATCCTCGCCGCCGTCGGCGCCGCTGCGGCGCGAGCGCCCGCCTCTCCGCGGCGCCGGCGGCGGCCGCGGCCCCCCCCCCTCGCGAGGAGCTGGAGGACAAGGACCGGGTCTGCGGGCGCCCGCGGCCGGCCTGCCGGCTGGCCGGCGCGCTCCGCCGTCTCGCTGCCGTCGTGAGCCTGCCCTCCTCAGACACGGTTCGGGGCCGGGGGCAGGTCCACGATGTCGTGCGGTGTCCGTTCACCGCTTGGCGGCCAATCCGGCGCAAATGCAGTGTACACGTTCTGTTTGTCGACAGTTACCTGTCGCTTGGGGAACCAGCCAGATACTTATACGCTAAACGTTGTCCTATGACGCTTCTGCGAAGCCCCATGGGGCAGGGCCTTGATACCTTAGTGTATACACGCGCGGTTCCCAATCCTGGCGTGTCGACCGAAGGCCGTCAGGGAGGCTTTGCATCGTTTTCGGCCTGTCGGGTCCTTGCCGGGCCTCGGGGCCGTCACGACTCTGCATGAAAAACCGGTCCTGGGGAAGCGGTCTCGAGAGGTCGGGGATTCAGGTCTCGAGCAAAAATGGGGCGCGGGATATCTGCCTCCGTTCTCTCGGGGCAGAGGGGCCTGCAGGTCAGCGCTCGGTTCGGCCGGGCCCCTTCGGTCGGATGCCCGGGAGGCCCGAGCACTCTGACCGATAGTGGCCCTGGGGCGGAACTTCCGCGGCCGATCGGTTGGGTCAGTGTGAGGTCGCGGGAGCCCAGCCCTTGCGTAGTTTTTCGCGAGCGCTGGAACTATTGCCAAATTCTTCCTTGGAGTCTCCAGCAGTAGCTCTGGGCCTCCCAAAGTCTCCGGAGCAGACCGCCCCCGCAACAATTTCTGAAGAGTTCCATCCTAACGCAACCCCGGGCTAGAACTCCCCGCAAAATCTTGACCGGGCTCTCGTAATGTGTCTCCGTGATGGACTTCCCATCATGTTTTTGGCGGGTACGTTCGCATTTCCAGGAGGCACCCTTTATTGATGATTTCATCGGTTGGAGTTTTTTTTCCATGGCCCGACCTATTTTGAGACATCGTGTTTGTGACTCGAGGAAAACAGGATGATCGCGAAGGCCTTACGGCCAGTGCCGCCGACCTTGACGGGGGACGGCGACGACGGCGAGGGCGACGGCGACGGCGATGACAACGACGCTAACGCTCTGGAGCCGAAATCTCCCAGGGAGGGGTGCCCCCCCCCCCCTGGGGGGTGAGGTCACAACCCCTGGGACCCACCCCACCCTCCCCAAGAACCCCGCCACGGGACCCTCCCCCAATGGGAAGGGGGTTCTTTTCCGACTCGATTCTTACGTTACTCGATTCCCTCTGCCTGGAGACGCCTAAGGGGGAGCGGCGACGACGACGACGACTAAAACGGAAAAGCCTCTCACACGCGCCGACATGGTCAACGGATTTGTGATCGGGGCAACCCCAGGCTCGTCGTCGGCGGAGTCGTCGCAATCGGTGCCGTCGTCGCGCTCGTTGTTGTGGTTGTAGTCGTCGTCGTCGTTGTGGTTCTGGTGGTGATGGTCGTCGTCGTCGTCGTCGTCGTCGTCGTCGTCGTCGTCGTCGTCGCACGGGATATGCGGTTCCCGCGGTCCAACGTCAGCGCTCGGGCCGACTCGGTGGCACCCGGGCTGCGCACCAGAGCCCAGCGTTGGCCTGGTCCTGTGTGTTCGGCTTCCTGCTCGAGTCGGGAGCCAGCATGCGGCCTTTCTGGAGGTTTTCACAAAGGCCCTCGAGGTCACATGATGTCACCGTGGAAGGAGGAGGAAGAGGGGGTCCTGAGGGCAAGGGGTCCTGCCTCGGTGGCACTCGAGCAGCTCACCTGAGCTCAGCGCTGACCTGGCTGTGTTCGGCTTCCTGCTCGAGCCGAAAGCCAGCAGGCGGCCTTGTCCGGAGGTTTCCAGCAAGGCACTCGAGGTCACGTGAGTCGAGTAGAGGATCGCTTACTAAACTGGTTTTCCCCGACATTTGTTTTCAGTCGAAGCTACGAACACTTAACATGAACCTGGCGCGACCCCAATTAGTGAAAAGCTTCCTATTGCATGGGCGCAGTGCTTGGCATTGCTTGGCGTTGCTTGGCGTTCCTTGGCATTGCTTAGCATTGCTTGGCATTGCTCGGCATTGCTTGGCATTGCTTGGCATTGCTTGGCGTTGCTATGCATTGCTCGGCATTGCTCGCCATTGCTTGGCATTGCTTGGCATTGCTAAGAATACGAGGCACCGAGCCGAGGAACCCGGGGAACCCGAGGAACCACCGAGGAACGGGCAAGGTAAGAATAGGAGGCACCGGGGGCAAGGAGTCTGGGGAATCCGAGGAACCTGGGGAACCTCCGAGGAACGGGCAACGTAAGAATCAGAAGCACCGAGGGCGAGGAATCCGGGGAACCCGAGGAACACGGGTAACCTCCTAGGAACGCGGAAAGTAGCCACCCGAGGCTTTAACATTTTAACCAAGTAAGAACCCCTTTAGGGAAGCCGAATTGTGGAAAAACGAAGATTATCCCATTGACCTACCAACGTGCTACGTCTTTTTCGTAGATTCGACGAGAACGTGAATTCTCGGGGTAAGTCAATTCTATAGTCGATCCCCATCTCGACTGAGGTCACCGTGGAAGGAGGAATAAGATGGAGTCCTGAGGGCAAGGGGTCCTGAGGAGGTTCGCCGTATTCGGCCTCCCCGGCCCCTGCCCAGGATCTGGGTCCGTCAGGGGACAATTCGAGATGAAAACCCGAAAGCCCCAGGGTACATGACGCCAAAGGAGATGTTTCTGAGATCACCTCGGTGGCTTCCCGAGGCCCCGAAGGCTCTCTGGGGGCGTGTGGAGCTCTGAGCTCCACGTGGCCGCAGCCTGTCGGAGATTCTGGTTCCGATGGGCTTGGTGCTTCAGAGGTCGGATCCTTGTGTCGGCGGCAGGCAGAGGTCTACTCTGGGTTTCGTAGTAGGCGTGGGGGTGTAACCCCCCCGACGGGGGTCCATCTCGCCTCGTCGTCGCGCCGCGACGGGGGTTGGAGCGCCTTCGGCGCGCGGTGACTGCCCGCGACGGGGGTCGATGTGGGGCTGTCGGCGGGGGTGACGCCCCCCCGACGCTTATTACGAAACTCGGAGTGCCGATCGCCTGAAGAGAGAGGTGCCAAGTGACCCAGACTGCCACATGCTTGCTCGGAGGAGCGAAGGGCTGTCCACGATTCGGTCGGCTCGGTGATGCGTGCCGATGCCTGCGCGTGGCGTCGGTCCGTTCGATCTCGCACCTCCCAGAGCTAACCTCCCCTTCCACCACGGGTGGGATTCAATATGATTGATTCAATTGTGCAGCAGGCCCGATCGATCTGCGATTACAAGCAGCCTGTGCAAAACCATTGCCAGGTTTAGGGGGGCATCTTGCTCAGAGGACCCTCCCATGAAGTGTGAGGTGCATGACTTTCAGGGGGGCCGCTGTTCCTCTCCACCGATTTTGGCCAACCCAGTCCCGAGCCAAGAATCTGATTGTACTGTATGCGTGTGTGCATCTTCTGACCAGCCTGGAGGGCGTGTCCACTCGTCCCCGGGTCCAGGATCGGCCATGCCAGGGTCGGTGTAGGGGGACGTCTGGCGTCTCCCTGTGGTCTCTGAACTGCCGATCCCTTCTGAGAGGCACCCTTGGTGCTTGGAAGTCCGCCCCCCCCCGCCCCCCCCCCCAGCCCTGGCCCGTTCTGTTTGTCGCCCGGGTGTCGCGCCCGCCCGCCATCTCGTCTGGGCAGCCTTCCCGTACTGGTCCTGCTCCACCACCCCGCTCCTGCTCCTCCTCGCCTCCACCTTTCTTGTGCTCCCTCCTCCCTCCTGGTCTGTTCTTCGTGCTCTCTCCAGCTGCTGCCTTGCTGCCGCCTTCCCCTCCTACCCTTGTGTACATATTGACGAGGGCACAAAGATACACCTACAGAAATAGATCTGGGCGTTGGCGCAACGCTCGGTTGAATTCGGTAACCTTCTGAATGAGGCCCTTGAAAGTCAGGCACCCTGGTATTCCACGCTCTGGCCCCTGCGTCGGGAGTTCATCCCTGCGCGCACATGCACGTGCACGCCTGGACCCGGCATTTTCATCGCGATGCCCTTGCTGCTTGCAGGTACAAGATCGGGAGTACCGTGCTGCTCATGATTAAGGTGGAGGGCCTGAAGGAGTGGGCAGAAGGGGAAGGGCCGCATTTGTCTGTCAAGACCACGGGCATGCCCCTGCTCGAACTCATCGCCTCCGCGGCCCCGTTCGTCTTCCCCCTTCTCTGCCGTCGCGCTGCCAGAGCGAGCGGCAGTGTCCGCGCTTGCCCTGACCTTGCCCAGCCTGGGGCCGCTTGCTGTCGGCAGCGGGAGCGGCCGCTGACGCTGTTCAAGCTGGCGGCGGGCCGCGCCTGGAGACAGGTGCGCAGAGAGGGGGGGCGGCCGCAGAGGCGAGAGAGGGATGCGGCCGCAGGCGCACAAGGGAAGCTGGATGCACGTGGCTCTGGGCCTCCCCGAGGTTTTCCGAGCAGGTGGGGTCGGAGGATGACGCCGCACCGCCGATGTATCGGCGATGCGGCTCAATGCGGGGCCCGATTTTCTCCATGCCGACGTCACCAATGCACCGCCGACGTCGCCGATGCATTGGCGATGCATCGCCGATGCATCGTCCATGCATCGTCGATGCATAGGCGATGCGGCGCGATCCTCCGACGCCACCTACCTGGACCCCATCGGTGAGGCCTCTGATGACGCGGCTGGCCTGGGCGAGAGCTGGATATACATGTGGCCACATGCCTTTCCAGCGCTCGGCCCTTCGTATGTCCGGGCACGCAGGGCTTCCGTATACGCATCCACCGCGCAGCCTCCAGATATTCCACGTGTGAATCCGGCCGCGTACGTTTCCAGCGTTCGGGTACAGAGTCTCTCAGGAGCATCGATGAGGGGGGTAGGCATAGGGGGGGATGCATCGACCCCGACCCCCAATCGTCCATTGAACCCGATAGCGGTCTGATAGCTCCACCCAGCCCAGCAACATGCGGATTTGCCATCGGGGGTATGTCGCCGACCTATCTGCGTTGTATTGCCGATTCCAGGTCGATGTTCCCCCCCCCTACGCCAGTCCCCCTTATCGTTACCCCTCAGTCGCACGGCCGCACAGGCGGCCTCCATCTGGGATAAGACAGTTTGCGCTCCGAGCGCGGTCGCTCTTAGCTTTCATAGAAGGGCACCAGCAGTTGGGTAGCGGCCGCTGTGCCGTCGCTGCGGAGGTAAGGCCCCAGCATGCGAAGCACGCGAGGCCGATCGCCATCGTGGCGATCTCAGCCGGGCGCCGCTGCCAGAGATGACCCACTTGGAGGCCCCCTCCTCCCTCGGGGTGCCGTGTGGGCTCTGCGGAGCGCAGCTTTCGCAGATGCCCCACGCGGAAAGTATCCGTACGACCTCGTACCACGAGCGCGTACCCCCCATTCAGATCACCCCCACCCCCTTCAACCGGGCGGGACAAGGACGAGGATAAGCGTTCCAGAGCGCTCTCAGAGCGTTCCGGAACGCTCTGAGAAGGCTGCGGCGCCCGAGACACCCCCCAGAGCCGCCGGATCTCAAAGGTTCTCGACTTATCCTTACCCAAGTTTTTTACCCTCGTCCTGGCCTCGTCTTATTTAGCACCCACCCGATAGGGGCGAGTCGGCCCCCAGCGCGTCGCCCTGCGGCGCCTCGCGCGCTGCGCGTCGCCCTGGGGCGCCGCGGTCTCCTGGCATGCCAGAGTCGCTCCGGGCGGCGTAAGTCGGGCGGGTGGTAATGAGGGGTGACCCAAATGGGGGTTGAAGCAGAGTTTTTTTTATCCCGCGTTTGGGTCACCCCCTTATTACCACCTGCTCGAGAGGGGCGCTCGCCTCGCGCTTCGCGCGGTGCGGAGCTCGGGGGCAACGTGGGGGGGGGGGTACGCGCAGGTTCGAGAGGAGGGGGGGGGGAATTCGAGGTTCGAGAGCTTCGGGCGGTTTCGTCGGTTCTCAGCGGTCTTCCAGCCTCGGGGTGGTCTCCGTCGGCTGCGCCTCGCCGAGGGCGTCCCAGGTGTGCCTTGATCGTCCCGAGCGGTCGCTGGGGGGCGAGCTAAGAGCCGAAAGCCAACGGACGACGCAGGGGGGGGGGGGGGGGATGCGCGCATGGGGGGGACGCGTCGACCCCCAGATCGCCCGCTCATCGGAGCCAGGGGTCCGATCGTCCTCCCCGCCCAGGAAGATGCGCAATCGCCATCGGGGACCTGTGGCCGATCTCTCGGCGATGTGTTGCCGGTTCCGGCTCGGCGCTTGTGCTCCTGAGCCGGTGCCCCTCGGGAGCGCGAGGTCAGGTGATCGGCCACGGCCCCTGTTCTCCCCCCCTCTCTGCCCCGCTCTCTCCCCCTGGGTGGTGAGGGTGAGTACTTAAGGCCGCGATGGACGTTCGGCACGCTTTGGTTTCTTGGCCGCGTCGCAGCCTTCCATGTGTACCCCCCTGTGTGTGTGATGAAGGATACCAGGGCGTCAAGTAGGTGCCTAGCGCTGTTCGCTCCCCTATTTACGTCTGGATCCCATTGTACCTTATCGATACGTGCTTCCAGCTGCGACGCAGCCGACCGCTCTGCGGCATGTTCGAAAGCGCCAACATTTGTGCAGGGGTTCTGGGGTCGCGATGATTTCGTCTCTGGGGGATGGGTGCGAGGGGGCTGCGAGGCCGAGGCGTTTCTTTGTTATGCCTTCGTTGACCACCTGCGACCCTCTGGCACGCCAACTGCCAGACCCGAGCTGTCTTCGACTCAAACTGGGGAGGCGGAGGAGAAGAGAGGGATGAGGAGGTAAAGGCTGTGTTCGCGCGGGTTGGCGATGGGGGCATGAAACTCGAGATCAGGATCGTCCTTGCGGCAATCTACTGCGCGCCTTCCTTCTTCGCATCCCATTCGGTACAGTCAAGACGCTGGAATAAGGACCACTTTGGGCTCAGGAGGGGCTCGGCTTTTCGGGCCGTTCCTTGACTTTATGTGGTGGAAACTGTTTGTAGCCTACGCCCGCCGTGGCCAGAAAAGCCCCATCGTTCCGTCTTGTGCGTTCCTTCTGGCAGCACGATGGCCGTATCTGCTCCTCTCGTTCCGCGAGACGTCTCGCAGGGGAGCCTCGGACGCAGCGTGGCGTGCCGCGGCGGGTAGGGGAGGACAAAGAGGAGGGCATCGTGGTGGGCCCAGGATGGGCCCGCGGCTGCCGCGCCGCTTCTCTTCGGCCCGCGGCAAGGGGGGGGGAGTGGGTGGGGAGGGGGACGCGAGGAGGGCATGCTGTGGTATGGTCAGAGGGCGCCCGTCTGCTTTGGTCACGGAGAGCTTGGCGCACCAAGACAGGCGGCCCTGATGGGTGGGTCGACCGTTCCAAATCGAGGGTACCCCCGGGGCCGGTCAATCCCGACCTGTGCAACCCGCATGTCCTTTGGTGTTATGGGGCCACGTTGCCGTCGGAAATGCCCGTTGCTCTGCGTGTCATTCCTCGCGGGCTTCTGGAGCCAGGCCTCTGGACTCGAGAAGCCTGCGGGGCATGAAGCGCAGAATTATCTGTGGACGGCAGATCGGCCGTTCTCCCAACAGTTTTTTGTGGACATGGGGCCCAAACGAACTTTATTGTTTTGTGGCAGCACTGGGCGGCGAGGAACGGTCAAAGTGTACAGGGTGATGGCCGTCCGCTCTGGTCTGGTCTTACCGTCTTTATCCACCTCCGCTCTGGTCCTTCTGCTTGTCCTCCCGCTTCCCTCCCTCCCTCCTTCCTCTCCTCCCTCCTCCCTTTCCCTCCTTGCGCTGCTACTTGTGCTCCTCCTCCTGCATTCTCCGTTCTCCTACTCATGCTCCTCTTCCCTTCTCCTCCTCCTCCTCTTCCTCCTCCTCCCTCCTCTTTCCGCCTTCCTCCTTCCTCCTTCCTTCCTTCTCCTCCTCCCCCCTCCTGCTCCATATCATCCCGCGGGCAGGGGCTGCCTGCCAGTATGCCTGCATGTTCACCCAAGGCTCCTTTAACGCAGGGGGATGCCACGCATTGCCATCCACTGGTGTTCGTCGTCGTCGTAGTCCTCCTCCTCCGATGCCATTTGGGCTCAAGTTCGGGACATGCCCGTTTTGAATGAGGCAGCTTTCTTCAGAGAGCGATCCAGCCTTCAGCGGCTGTCGAACATACCACGACTCCCCTCCAGCGATGGCCGATGTCCTGTTTGAGATTGGATCCCAAGAGAAGCGGGAGATCGCAGCCGATGCTGAACTCGTCCGGGCTTTCCCCTCGCAGGAGCTCATTGACCATGGCAAAGGTAAAGGTGGCTCTCGCTCTGTTGTGCGCAAGCGTTCTACTGGTTTCACCGCGCACAACCCTGAGGGCGACGTACCATCGGGAGGCGACCTCGACGATTTCATCTCTGGCGAGTACTTGCGCCAGGTGTGCCGCGAAGGGTTCGAGACAATGCGGGCCACCATCACTGCCAAGGTCAGCGGCTCCGTCACCAAGACTGTCGGCGAGAACCACTCCACTCTCAGGCAGATGCTCTCAGCCATGCAGGCTGAGGTCACCAAGCAAACCAACAGCATCGAGCAGCAGGTCCAGACGGCGGTCGCTCCCCGCCTCGATGAAGTCAGCAGGCAGTTCCATGCCCAGATTGACGAGCATAAGGCCTTCACATTGGCGGGTCAGTCTCGGCTCGAAGATCATGATAAGACTGCGGCCCTTTAGCAGCAACTCGCCCAGTTCCAGCGTGGGCTCGCAGTTGCTGCCCATGCTCCCCGTGCTGTCCTTCCCCAGCCTTCCTCGTTCAGCCGCGACCCCTACCCGACTAATGTGGTTGCCGTGCCGCAGAAGCCCACCACCTTGGCGTCGGTGCAGCTCGAGCTGCGCCAGTGGCTATCGCCGATTAGCTTCGAGGAGTCTGACTACAATGTCGTGTGGCGCGGAGAGTCACCCTCCCGTCGTTTCGAGGTTTCGTTCTCTGGCCCTGCTGTCGCGGCTGCTCGCGCAGCTTCTGCTGCTGTTTCCAAGCTCAAAGTCGATGGCGTGTGGACGGAGTTGCGGGCTTCCCCCCTGGTGCCGAACGGCGTCGTCTCCACCTCGGCCCCGACAAGAGCCCGAAGCAGATCAAGACCGAGATCGCTATTCGCAAAGCTCGCCAGTTCGTCGACCTACAGTACCCTGGCAAACGCTACTTCTCCGACCGCGAGCGCGGTGTTCTCTCCATCGGGTGGGACAAGATCGCGCAGGTCGAAGTCTTCTGTGGCGACAAGCCCCCGAAGATTATGTGGGACCTGGCCCAGCTGCACAAACACGGCATGTCTAAGGTTGCAATCCATAGTGCTACGAAGGAGCTTACTGCGCCTGTGGACTCTAGCCAGTGGTCTCTTTGACGCAGTCCGCCATGTTCGTCTTCCTCCTCCCCCGCTTGGCCAGATATGGTCTCCATTGGAGTCTGCCAAGTGGAACTCTCGTGCGCTGCTTCAAGCGGGTGGTGACAAAGCTACTCTGGAGCGTGGGTACCTGGTACCTGGTGCGGTTGGGGTTATCGCATACCGTCCTCTCCATCCAGGTGGTCCACCAGGATCGCCAGCAGCTCGTTTCCTTCCTCGGCGCCATCACGAACGGCGTCGTGGTGCACTCCAACTTCTGCGGCGACGATGCGGTGGGCCGCATCAGGGGTGGCGTTGCAGTCGTTCTTCCTCCTTTCGCCTACGCATGCCAAGTCTCTGCGACCTCGTCGCGCCGTGTTCTCGTACCTGGGCGTGCTCTGCCTGTGGAAGTCTCGGCTGGCGACTCATCCCTTTGTATTTTGAATATCCACGACCACGACCTGTCCACCCAGGACGTCCAACTCGCGGCCGCCGAGATCCGCTCGGTTCGCGTCGCCGCTGCCAATGCCCCTGGCGAGTACCTGGTGGTGGTTCGCGGCGACTTCAATTTCGCAGCGCGCGAGTCGGTTCTGCTGCGCATGCCTGCAGCCGCCGTGCGTCGCAGCGCTCGCCAGCATCACGCTCTTGCCCCTAAGCGGCGGGACGCGAGGGGTGCGCCGAAATGAGGGAAGCGGCACCTCTGACTGAGGTCGTGCGCGACGAACCCACACATTTCGACAAACAAAACAACGCTGCAGCCATCATTGACAGATTTTGTCTCCCCCGCCTCGGGTTGGCAGCTGTGTCAGATGCAAATGCAGGTCTCTACGCTCGACTCCGCGACCATCGTCTCCGACCGATCGATGGCCGACCGCGCGGCTGTCATCGTCTCGTTCGCTCCCCGCGCTGTCCGCCCCGTCGAGCAACGCGGCCGGGCGCATCTTCCAGGAGCCTGCCTTCAAGAAGCGCCTCGCGGGTCTCGCGTTGTCCACCAGTTGGGCCCCCATGCCGCCCCTTGTGAAGCTTGAAGTGTGCAAGCGCCCCGATGAGATCGCTGCGGCAGAAGTGCGGGATTCCCTCTTTCGGCATCGTCCACGCCAACTTCACGCTCTCCTCCAGCTCGCCCGCTCGCTCGCCAGGGTCGTCTGGAGGCGGGATATTCGTCTCGCTGGCCGCCTGATCGATTCGCACCCTCTCGTTGCCGACGTGATCACGATTGCCGGTGGTAGCGTTGAGCTCAGGCACCCGCCATCGTTCCAGGCTTGGATTGCCTGGGCGCAGTCGGGAGCGGCCGACGCTCGCAAGGCCGAGCTCGAGGCGCAGAGGAAGGCCTGGGGCGATCGCTTTCAGTTGCGTAATCAGGTTCGGGCCCTCGAGAGGAAGGCGAGATTGTGGTCCCCCATCAATCGCAGGATTTCGCTCTATGGTGCGTCTGCCCCTGATGGCTCGGTTCTCACGTTGGAGCATGGCCGCGCGCGTGAGATGAGGACCTCTTCGACGCTTGTAATTCAGAAAAAGGAGTAGGATCGTGTTGCTGCTGGCCCTTGCCTCCGTGCTCTGCTTCCTCGTGCTGATGACCTCCACGTGCCCCCTCCGTCGCGCGCGATGCCCCATCGCGCTATGCTCTCTGCTCGGCGCTCTGCTCCTGGCCCTGACGCTCTACCTTGGGCGGCTTGGTTCGCCGACCCTTTCGGTGAGTCTTTTCTCTGGGATTCCCTGGAGTGGGTCTTCGGAGGCCAAGAGCTTTTCGCCTCTGCCAACGACGCGTTCCAGATTTCCCGGGCGAAAAATGTCACGGACCATGGGCTTCGGGACCACTTCTGCATTCGCGCGCCAGAAAAAGTTCGCGTTCTCGGTCTTTGGAATTGCGACCATAAGCTGATATCGGCCGCCGTCAATCGCGCCGTTCGACCAGCTCTCGCCCACTTGTCGCCAGAGCGTCAGAAGGGGGTTCATTCTTGGTTACAATTTCGGGAACAATATCCCGGAGCTCGACGTCTCGAACCGCATCCTGTCCGTCACCCCCCTGGCCTCCCAGAACATCCCCATCCTTTTCTCCGTGGGCTTCGGCCAGGCCTTCCCGTCGCTCAACCAGGATTTCCTCCTCTTCGCGCTGTCCCCCGTCGGCCTCCCTGACGCGCCCCTCGCCTTCGTGGGGTTCCTGTGCTCCTCGATCGAGGGCGTCGTGGCCCACCTCGGCCTCCTCGCTCGCATCTTCTGGATCCAGAGCGGGATCATCCAGGGGCGCGCGCTCTCGGGAGACCTGCTCGCGCTGGCCGCGGAAGTTTTCCTCTATGACCTCGCCCAACAGATAGAGGGCAACAGCCTCGGCCTTGTGAGGGCCTGCGCCGACGATATCGGCGGTGCTTTGGAGGCTGTCCAGTAGCTTCGGCGCGTCCAAGGTGTCATGTCCAAGGCTTCGTCCATGGCCAACCTGGTGCTCAAGGTTGCCAAGCGCAAGCTCGCCCCTCCCTCGGGCCCGTTCTCGGCGAGCCTGGCCGGGCAGGTGGCCGTTGTCATCAGCATCGTGGTTCTTGAGTGGAGCCCTTTCGAGGTGAACGGTGACTGGCGCGCGCTGTGCATGCTTGGCTCGGGGCGCCCGTGCCCTTCCTTCTGGCAGGCCGTCGCGCTTGTCGAGAACCTTGAGGCTGCGGCTGGAGCGCGCCAAAGACATGGTCAGCTCGGTCCTGTTGAACTCTTATGCTACTTCTGCCGCTCGGGCGGCGCTTCGGGGCCCTGCTGACCGCCGCCCGCGACCTCCGCGCGCGGCTCGCCGCGCACTGCGTCAGCTCGCCTGGGATGCGACCCCGCTGTCGGAGCTGTGTCGAGACTCCGCAAGTTAGCTGGCCGTGCAAGACGCGTGTTTGCCTCCATCGACTGGCCCCTGTATTCTGCCACTCTACGTCGCTGCCCGTGCTCGTGGGCTTGGATCGTGGTTCGGACGCGGTGTGATGTGCGGATGACTAGCTCCAGAGTCATTTCGCTTCATGGCAATAGGGTCTGGGCTTGCGGTTGCATTGGCAAGGTTGGCACGCCGAAGATGCTGAATCTTGCTCGACCTCCTCCGCGCTCCTTCCCACCTCGCAAGAGCAGGAGCCTCGACAGAGTTGCTGCTGCTGAGCATCCTGCTGTAACTCCTCCGTTGGCCGTGACCGTCCCCGAGGCACATCTTCCGTACAGCAACACTCTCTCCGCAGCGTACATCGTGCACAACCCTCGCAACAGGCGCAACTTGAAACGACGCTCCACCGCTGCTCGATCCAAATCAACGTGTGTGATGTGCTAGTAGAATTTCTTAAGATCGAGCAGTCCACACTGAGGCCGAAGTGCGCAAGCATATTGTGCACCCGGCCCGACCGCTCGCATGACGTGTCGGGGCCTGCTCCCCAGAAAAAAGACGTTGGATGCTCTACCTCCCACCGATTGCAGAGGTGCTGGCGGCACTTCGACCAAACTTTCATGAAGAAACTCAAGGGGCCAACCGGCCTGACCCCCACCCCCTATCTGGCTCATCCAGGAAGACAATGTTTGTCAACAGGTCCGATGGGACTACGGGGGCCTCCTCGAACCCGTGCAAGATATCCAAGATACGCATCTGGTAGGCCTCTGGCAGCTTCAAGACGAGCCTCGGGTGGAACGAGTCCCACCCCAACCCAGCCCCCTTGGCATACCCACGGCACACATGAAGGAGAGGAGGCTGTCGAGCTCAATCCTCGGGAGCGTGTCCCCTCTGGTGTCCCATCGATAAGGGTGCTCATGTGAGGCTCGATGTTCCTGGAACCATAGGGGCATCCACTGATCCAATAAGGCCTGCGCGGCCTCATCCCCGCTGACAGGTAATGCACCATCTGCAGCAGGGATCGAACACTGGCAGCTGCGATCGGTGAACGCCTGGCGAGAGTACGCATGCGCAGCCTTCCCCCCACGCTCAATCCTTCGCCAACTTCTGCCACCTGCTGAGCCTCTCCTGAATTTCCGTCCTCCTCAACTCCTCGACGTACCTATCGAATGCTGGAGATGCTCTGTACACCTCTCGCCGTTGGCTTCGATGGAGCCGATGAGATCTAGGACGAACGGCTGGTCCAGCTGGCCGTGTTGGCAGAGCAAGCTGGGGACCATGCCTTCAAGTCTGTCAAGCCACTGCTGCCGTCGAGCTCTGCCTGCCGAATCTAGCTGCCCACTGGATCCTGAATCTTTGGCTGCACTCGCTTCTCGGGTGGCCAACGTTTGGAACGACATTCACGCTGTGGTCCGCTCTGAGTACGTGCGTCGAGCCTCCCGATCCCAGGCAGTCTCCAAGGTGACCTTGACCGTCTTGGGCCCCTGGGCCCTCCCACAGCAGACGTCCCGAGAGTTCCCGTCGATGTCGAAAAGGCCCACCAACCAGTTTTCGGCTCTCGTGAACCACTCTTTGATCTTGGCCCAGTGAGGCGCCACTGAGGTGAGGCGGAGGAAGATGATGACGATGATGACGATGACGATGATGATGATGATGATGATGATGATGATGATGATGATGATGATGATGATGATGATGATGATGATGATGATGATGATGATGATGACGACAATGCTGACCATGATGATGAGGAGGAGGATGAGGAGGCGGAGGATAATGATGGGAAGGAGGAGGAGGAGGAGCAGGACAGGGAAGCGGAGGTGCGAGCAATTCCTTCAAGGGTACGTTGGGGGTCGGGGGCAGAAAAGGCTGGGCAAGCTGTGGGGGAGTGACGGGGTGCGAGTGAGGGTTCCGAGAGGGATAGGGTGAGGGACGTGTGAGGTTATCCTTCCTCTTTATCCTTCCTCTCATCTTCGTCCTCTCCTTCGTCGTCCTCTTCCCCTTCTCTTCGTCCTTTTCCTTATCCTTCTCCTTAGTCTTCTTCTTCGCCATCTTCCTCGATACTTCCCCTTCTCCTCTCCCTTATCCTTTTCATTCCCCGTCCATTCCCTTTTTTTGATCAGGCTGTTGGGCGACGAAGGCCCATAGCGTCAGAGAGCCTGAGCGCAGGTGCGCCCGGGCAGCAAGCGCAGAGCCTCCTCGAACGCGGCGGCGGGTGCTCGGCGAGGACCATCGAGGAGCATCGCGGATCATCTAGCCAAACAAGCACGCACGACATCGAAATATGCACGGGGAATGGACGTCCGAGCGATGACAAGTCAGTTGTGTGATATGATCCATATATGTGGCCTCCGCTATTCATCGAGCTGCATCATGGCCACCACCGAGCCCTGTGATCCAAGAACCATAGTCGCCTAGACGCTCAGCAGCAGGAAAGACATGCAGCCTTCTCCTACTTCTGTTTCTCTCTCTCTCTCTCTCCCTCGCTGATTCTCCCCCACCTTCCCCTCACTCGCTCTACAATTTTACAATATGAATGCTACTCTCCTCTCTCCCCTGATGACGTCCGGAAGATGTTTGGCCGCCTTCCGCGCATTGTTTTCTAAAACACAGGATTCCCGGGAGTTTGGTTTTCGCAGGTTTTTTTTTTGTTTCAAAATCTTCCTCCCGCTGAAGCGCTGGCCTCATTTTCGGGCTTCCGCACGGCTCGAATCGTGCTCCCACTGCAGCGCTGGCCTCATTTCCGCGCTTCCGCTCGCTGAATCGTCCTCCCGCTGCAGCGCTGGCCTCATTTCCGCGCTTCCGCCGTCCGCTCGTTCCGAATCGTGCTCCCGCTGCAGCGCTGGCGTCATTATTTCCATTGCCATGCCACGGCATACAATGCAATGCTATGTGGTGTCCCGTTGTGCGTTACCATGCTTTCAGCTGCAATGCTAGGATATGCAGTGCTTGACTACGCAGTGCCACGCCATGCTATGCCATACTACGCTTTGATCTTCAACGCCATGCTATGCCACATGTTCTTTTCTGTGCCGCTGTGCGATGCCATCATTTGCGTTGCAATGCTTTGTGATGCAATTCTTCACTGCGCAACGCCACGCCATTCTATGACATACTACGCTCGGCCGTGCTCTTCTACGCCCTTCTGTGCTGTGCTCTACGATGCATCACGCACCCTCTCGGGATCATTGCCTTGATCGATATCCGACTGTGCGAGTAGAGAGGAGATCCATACCATGCCAAGGGCTGGGAGTGAGGGGCAGGACGTCAGACATGGCGCGAGCGCACCTAGCGTTTTCTCCGCCCTCTCCTCCACGGCTGGGGTGCTGCGCCTGGGGCGCGCCGGCGCGAGGAGGGGATTTCTCCGCGTTCGGATGCGAAATCCGTTGGCTTCAGGCTCTGAAGAGCAGGCCTTTTGAGACCTCCGTTGTTTTCTGGCCGTGGACGGCCCGCCGAGGCGCATTCGTACTTGCCTCGCACCCTCCCCCGCCCGCTTCACCCGTCATCACTTTCTTTTCTCCCCCGACTCTCTCATGAATGCTGTGGCTTTCCTTTCTCCGCAGACTATGCCTACAAGATGTTCCGCCCTCGCCGCGCATGCGCTTACACATGTTTTTGTTCGCTTTTAAAATCATTTGACATTTCTCATGTTCCCGATGTGGCAAAATGGTGTTCCCGCTGTAGCGTTGGCCTCATTTCAGGATTTGGCACTTTGCTCCCGCCGTTAAGTATGGTGCCCTCGCCCACGCGCGGGCTTGACTTCTGGATCGGAGTCCATCCTCGTCGTTGTCGCCCCCCATTCCCCTTCCCTTCCCCTGGTCGTCCAGCTCAAGCTCCTCTCGCTCCTCCTACCCCTGCTCCTGCTGTTGCGTCTGCTCCTCCTCCTCCTCTTTCTCCTTCCTGATTCTCTTGCTCATCTTCCTGCTCACTCGCCACCTCGTGCTCTTCCACCTCCTCGAAGGTAACTACACAGCTCCCCTTTCTGCTCTGCTTGCGCACAATACGATTGGGTCATTTGGGGGTCCCAGATCTGCTCAGACTCCCGTATGCGGACAGAGACAAACACAGCGTAATGGGAAAGGAAGGGTGGAAGGTGCAGGATGCCCGATATGGCGCGAGGGCACCTAGCTTGTTCCTCCCTCCCCCCCCTCCTCCACCTCCCACCTTCTCTGCCTCCCCATCCGTCATTGTATCCGCCGTCGAAGTCGTCGTCGCCCTCCGACCGCGATTCGCTCAGATTCGTACCAGACCCTCCTAGGGTCCGTCCGGACCGCTTTTCAAGCCGCGTCCAGCCACGGCGATGAGACCACATCCCTAGAAACGTACCACGATTCATCCCAGACGAAGCCACCGTCGTCCTCTTCGCTGTTTTCGAGCCGGCGCATCAGCCGCCGCCGACGACGAGAGCCACTTCCCGGAACTGCCCCCCAAAGCATCAGAGAGACGACGCCAGCGTCGTCGGTTTCGCGTTTTTGTCGAACCGCGCCTAGTCGTGTGGTGACGAGATCCCCCGCGGAAGCGCCAAGCAGCATCCTAGACGACGCCGTCGTCCTCGTGTTTTCTGTTTTAGCCGCGCCATTTTGTGGCGACGAGAACCCCCAGAAAGGCCAGCAAGGAGCACCCGAAACGACGCCGCCGTCGCCCGCGTCCCCAGGGATTCGATGCATCGTTTTCCGTCCAACCATCGGAGTGTTGGGTCCTTGGTTTGAATCCGCAGCGCTGTGCCCCACCTCCTCCCGCCTCCCTCTCCCCCTGCTCTCCTCTCCCTGCCGCTGCTTTGCGCATGTGAGCTGCGGCATACCTCTCACGCGCTTCGTGGCCCCACAGGGAGCTCAACCTATGGCCCAAGGGAGTGCATTCGCATGGCGTCCCAGCGCCCCTTTTATACCACAACTCATGCCCCACAGGGGGCTCCACTCATGGCCCCACCCGTACATTCCTGATGGCCCCAGGGCCCGAAAACGGCCCCGCAGTCGCCAAAACGGCGGAGAAACACCAGGATTGAAACAATTCACCTGTCCGAAATTTGGGTTTGTGGCGGTCCTCAGCCTACTTTCCATGGGTTGCGCCATGCGACCCGCCGACTGACGATCCTCCCACTTCTGTGTACCTCCCGTGGGTCGCGCCACACACTGATTGGCCTGTTTTCCACCACCACCACCATAAGTTGGAGGGGAAGGGGTCCTCCTCCTCCTCTTCTTCGTCCTCCTTCGCCTCGTCCTCCTCCTCCTCCCCCCTCCAACTTATGGTGGTGGTGGTGGAAAACACGCCCATCAACACACAGCACCGGGTACCCCGCGCCACATCGAACTGCGATTTTACCCTTTCTGCTTACCGCCCAGGGGTCGCGCCACAGGTTGCGCCAGACGCGCCGCGCCCCCACCGGAATCGCCCAGTTTTCTCCTGGCCGGTGCCCTTTCCTGTCGCAGAGAGAGAGAGAGAGATAGGGAGGGAGAGAGAGAGAGAGAGATAGGGAGAGAGAGAGAGAGAGAGAGAGATAGGGAGATAGAGAGAGAGAGAGAGATAGGGAGAGGGAGAGAGAGAAAGAGAGAGAGGGAGAGAGAGAGAGAGAGATAGAGAGAGTGGGAGAGAGAGAGAGAGAGAGATAGGGAGAGAGAGAAAGAGAGAGAGAGAGAGAGAGAAAATCTAGGCCTCCCAGATAGGTTCCGAGCAGATGGGGTCGGACACAGTCGTGCCGCATCGCCGATGCATCGCCGATGTGGCTCGATGTGGAGCCCGATTTTCTGCCCGCCGACGTCGCCGATGCATCGCCGACGTCGCCGATGTATCGCCGATGCATCGACGGTGCGTCGGCGATGCGGTGCAATCCTCCGATCCCATCTATTCGGACCTCACCGAGGAGGCCTCAAGAGTCGGCGTCACCCCAACATTCTAATTCTCTCTCTCTCTCTCTCTCTCTCTCTCTCTCTCTCTATATATATATATATATGCGTCGCCCCCTCCCTCAGGAGCGACGCGCGTGCCAAGACATTTCATAGTATAAGCTCCGTGGTTGGCGCTGTCTGGCCATACTGCTCGGAAGCCGATATGCTATGAGATTTGTGTGCAAGTCGGACGCACGCCTCCGAGGAGGACTCGTAGTACTAGTATGTCCTCCTGCGTCCCATATAGTGCGATATATATCTCTCTCTATATAGAAGGAGAAAGAGAGAGAGAGAGAGAGAGAGAGATGGAGAGAGAGAGAGAGAGAGAGAGAAAGAGAGAAACAACAAAAAGACAGATAACACATACAAAGAAAGAAAGTGCCTTTTCCGTACAGCTCCCGCTGCTCAGGCCCCCCCCCCCGAACGAGCCGAGACGCCGCCGCCGCCGTCCTCGCCGTGGCGGCCCGCCGGCCTGGCGCGGCGCCCCCCCCGCGTGGGCCGCCGAGGCACCCAGCCGGACACCGTCATGGTGCGCTTCGGCAGGCCTGGGCTCGTGGCCGCCCGGCAGGCGCCACCGTCCTTCCAGCGATTCGCCCGGGGGGGCAGGCGGGTCCTGAGGGGAGCGGGCCCTCGGGTTCTTCGCCGTCTTCGGGCTCTCGGGGCCCTCCACGGGCCCTGGGATTTGTCAGAAAACGGCTCAGGATGAGGACCTCGTCCTGGGGGAAGGCCCCAGGGCCCAGGTCCCGTGTCCCTCAGGACCCGTTCCGTCACCCCCATGCTAGAGCTACGTTTAGAAGTGACCCTTGGCAGGAGTGTCTTGCTGGCGCTCTCGGGTTGCGTTGTTCTGGCCTTCCCGCCCCCGCGGCCCCCCTCAAGCCGCGCACCAAAGGGCACTCTTGCCTATAGGGTCACTCCTGCGTGAGGGTGGAGCCACGATCGAGTTCTCGGAGGTCCGCGCTGATTTCTTGGGGTCGGCGCTGGCCCCCCTCCCACCACCCCTGGCAGCGCCTCCGGCGCCGGCCATGGCGCTCTCCGCGCACAGGGGTTCCAGGACTGACCCGAGAGATCCGCCCGGACCTCCGACAATTGGCGTTCCAAGGTTGTTTTTGCTCTTCTCTGCTGGAGGAAGAACGATCGATGGCTGAGGTGTACCCTCGTCTCGATGGGGGCACCGAGATCGAGGGGGATCGAGGATCCTAGGAGTAGATGAGGTTTCCAGGTGTCTCTTATTGTGGTGGCCTCCGGCCAGTGCCGCCGATCCGGGACGCTTCCGTTGCTGCCTGAAGCGCACGATGGCGGTCATGACCGGCGACGACAGCGAGCGGTGAGGATGATGAGGATTGGGAATGGAGGCGACGGGGTAGGATGATGAGAAGGAGGATCATGATGAGGTGGAGGGGGGTGTGGGGGAGGGGCAGGAGTAGCAGGATGTTGAGGATTAGGAGTAGCAGGAGGAAACGGGAAGTGGAAGAGGGGGAGGGGGATAACGACAAGCTATGTGCGCTCGCGTCATATCTGACGTCCTACCCCTCCCTCCCATCCCTTATCATGGCGCTGATTTTCTCTATCCGCGGACGCGTGTCGTAGCGGACCTGTGGCTCCGCGCGCGCGTGCGTAGTGGGTGGTGGTGCGCGTGCGTGCGTGCGTGTGTGCGTGGTTGTGGTTGCGGTTGTGGTGGTGGTGGGTGGTGGTGGTGGTGGTGGTGGTGGTGTGTGGTGTGTGTGTGTGTGTGTGTGTGTGTGCGTGCGTGTGTGCGCGTGTGCTGTGGTGTGACGTGGTGTGGCGTCTTGGTGGTTTGGTGGTGGGCCAGGTGCGTGCGTGCGTGATGGCGGTGGTGGTGGTGGTGGTGGTGGTGGTGGTGGTGTGTGTGTGTGTGTGTGTGTGTGTGTGTGTGTGTGTGTGTGTGTGTGTGTGTGTGTGTGGTGTGTGTGTGTGTGTGTGTGTGTGTGTGTGTGTGTGTGTGTGTGTGTGTGTGTGTGTGTGCGTGCGTGCGTGTGTGTCTGTGTGCGCGCACGTGTGATGTGGTGTGACGCGGCGTAGCGTGGTGGTGGTGGGTGGGGTAGTGGGGTGGTGGTTGCGGTGCGCGTGCGTGCGTGCGTGCGTGCGTTGGTGGGTGGAAGTGGCGGTGGGCGGGGCGGGGCGCGGTGCGGTGGTGGCGGGCGGATGGGCGCGAGAGAAAGAGGCCCGCGCTGGGGCGAGAACGCCATCCTGAACGACGGAGGCAAAACACCGATCCGAAAATGAGACCCACGCTGCAGCGGGAGCACGATTCGGAACGAGCGGGGCCCGAAAATGAGGCCGGCGACTCAGCGAGAGCAGCATTCTGGAAACACATGCAGGCGAAAACCCAACTCCGGGGAAACTTGTATGTAAAAAGCGGTACGCGGGGGGGGGGGGGGCGGCTACTCCCACGACGTCATCAGGGGAAGAGGGAGAGTAGTATTCATATTGGGTAATTGTGGAGCATGACGAGGATGAGATTTTCGGCGGTTGTTGGGGGTGTTCGGCGGTTGTTGGAAAGCCTCTACGGGGCCAGGTGTTGGCCCTCTTTGGGTAAACACCTCGCCGATATGGCGCACTCATTGAAAAACTTGGTGCTAGAGCTGTCTGCGTCACAATTCTTTGTGGAGCCTTGTGCGTCGCCGGTTTCTGCTGGGAACCATGGTGTTTTTGGGGTCTCTGGGGCCTTCGCGCGGTCCTTTGCGGGCCCTTGTGAGATCATGTATGTGAAGGAGACCGAAGACGGGAGAATATGTGAAACCGTGGAAGAACCTTATGTATTGTAACGCTTGTGTTCAGACGTAAGCGCCGTGAAAGCATTGGGGCCGGCTTTGGGTTTCGGGGGGGTCTTGGAGACAGCTTGGAGGCTTTTAGCAGGCGTCTTGGAAACATTATTTTAGATTACTGGGGGTTTGTAGGGGGCTTCAGGGGGCCTCTTCGGCGCCAGTTGGGAACGTCTTGGGGCCTCTTCAGGCTTCTTGGGGGCATTTGGGGGCCTGCTGGGGAGTTCGTGGGCCGTCTCTGGTATTTTTTCCGCCGTCTTGGCGCCCTCTCAGGCGCCTCTTGGGCCCTCTTGGGCCTTTCCGGAGGCCTCTTGGGCCATCTCGGGCCCTTCTTTGGCCGTCTTGGAGCCCTCTTGGCAGCTTCTCGGGCCGTTTTGGGGCTCTCTTGGGGCGTCTGCGACGCTCTGAAGGCCCAAGGGGCGAATGTGCTAAAATTGTACGTTTTCCCTTGGGAATGAAACATGTGTTGCGTCTTTGGGCCTTCTTTGGGAGGCTTGGTCAGGGCTTCGGAGGACATCTTGGAGGCTTCTGGAGCCGTCGTGGGGACATTTTGGGCGTCTTGTAGCGATCGTTCGGCGACTCGGGGCCCTCCTGGCCCATGTTGGGGCCCTCCTGGGCGAGGGGGCCGTCACGGACTGAGCTGGAGCTCCGATTCCGCCCCTGAAATTAAATCGGCCCCCCCCCACACTTCCCCTTACCCCGGCATAGCCACCCCGGCACCCACCCCCCAGTAGAGCTGAAAATCAGGAATTGAGGCTGTGGCTGTTCTGAGGGTCCTTGAAACTTACACGCCGGATCGACGGATTTCAGGGGGGGTCATGGGGCGCATCGTCGATGCGGTTGGGCCTCCTCGAAATTCTGTTCAGAATGTGTTCCAGTAGCCAGTAGTGAACTAACCAGTGTCAGCGCTAATGTCATCGTGTGATTAACAAATGAAGCCCCCCCCACGGGGCTGATGAATAGACCCCGCGGGGCGCGAAACATTTTGAATCGCGCGGGAGCCGTCGAGGGGATCATGCCCCCCCCCCTGCACGGCAGCCTCAAAACGATTGCCGTTTCGTAAACAAGTCGCTATATGGATCGGATACACCCGAGGCGAAGCTGTTCACGTGCCGCAGTCGTGTTCGTCGTCGTGTTCGTCATCGTCGTCGTCGTCTTCCGTTCTTCGTCGTCGTTCATCGTCCGTCGTCCGTCGTCGTCGTCGAGTAGACTAACACTTGGCCTGCGCAGCCCCTCCCCCATAGGGCATCCGCAGTGCATCGTCGTCGGTCGTCGCCGTCGCCGTTGCCGTCGTCGTCCTCTTCGTCGACGTCGTCGTCGTTGTTGTCGCCGGCTGCAGCGAGGGCATCCGCAGTGCGTTGTCGTCGCCCGTCGTCGCCGCCGCCGCCGCCGCCAACGCCGCAGTCGTCGTCGTCGTTGTCGTCGTCGGCGGCTACAACGGGCATGCGCAGCACTCCCGCCCCCACCCCCCCGGAGCATCCGCTCTGCGTCGTCGTCCGCCGTCGCCGCCGCCGTCGCCGTCGTCGTCGTCGTCGTCGTCGTCGTTATCGTCGTCGTCGTCGTCTTCGTCGTCGTAGTCATAGTCGTCGTCGTCGTCGCTGTCGTCGTTGTCGTCGTCGTCGTCGTCGTCGTCGTCGTCGTGGGACGTTGTTGTGCAGGGGGGGAAGGAGGGAGAAGGAGAGGGAAGAACCCTTTTCCGCCTGCCTCTTTCGCTCCTCGCCCTCTCTTACCGTTCTTGTTTGTAGCCACGTCGGTACCGCCCGCCAGCCGAGTTTTTTTTTGTCCCCGCCTTCTATTTCTCTACTGTCTGTAACCATTTTGGCCTAACCGCCCTGCTACATCGGAGGCGCTGCTCTCCCGCGGCGTGGCCTGCGTCGCGCCAATCGTCTTCCTTCAATTCGGCCGGGCGTCGGCGCCAACGACCGGCGCTGCCGCCGTGTGTTTCAATTTGGCGGGCGCCCCCCTGCGATTCAACCGAGCGAAGGACCAGTTTTTTTTGGGGGGACCCCCCCCCACAAAAAAAAAAAGTCGTGCGCCCCGATGATTTTGTCCACCACAAGCTGGCATTCGCGGAAGTAGCGGGGGTCAGCGTTAGCTAGGGTCAGCCAGTCCATCGTGATTCCACAGTCGACTTGCGCTTTGTAGCCACGTGGAGCTCTCTCCATCCCCGCCCTTTGCTGCCCCAGATTGACGTGCTACGTTACGTGGTCGGCCGGGCTTCGCGACATGACCTTGTCCTGACCTTCCTGAGTGGTCAAAGGTCTCCTGCCAGACTGGGTATACCTCGGCCACGAATTACACTCATAAGTCCTAGGGTTATGTCTGCTGCCCCAGGTTGGCGTGCTACGTTACGTGGTCGGCCGGGCTTCGCGACATGACCTTGCCCTGACCTCCTGGAATGGTGAAATGTATCCTGCCTGACTGGGTATACCTCGGCCACACACTGCATTCATAAGTCCTAGTGATACGTCTTGGCCCTCTTGGAAGGTCAGGGCTGAACCGTGCTGGTGCACCTTCGATGACCTCTTTGAGGTGGAGGAGCGCCCCGAATTCCGGAGCCGCTGCCGCAGCCAATCGCAATCGGTTGTGGGTTTTGCCTGAACATTTGTCGAACATATGTTTGCCACGTGTGCGTGGACCACGAAGGGGCGACGCGCATTCAATAATCTTCTATTACGGTCGGACCGAGGTATAATATCGAGGTCGGTTCGGGGAGGACGCCTTAATGTTTTTCGTGCTTCTTGGATATTATCGCTCATCCTGGGATGGCGGTGTCCTCGCTTGT